TATGATTTTAATTCTTTTAAATTGGTCAAGGCTTATTTTATAGCCCAGGATGTGATCTATCTTGATGAATGTTCCATGGAGACTTGGGGAAAAAAAATGTGTTCATCCATAGTTGGTTGGAATGTCTGATATGTATCAGTTGGGTTCTGTTGGTTGATTGTGTTGTTTAGATCTTCGATATCCTTGTTAATTAAGGATTTTCTGTCTATAGCAGGTGTATCAGTTGCTGAAAGGCAGGGGAGAAGTTTGAAGTCCCCAGCTAAAGCTGTAGATTTATCTATTCCCTCTCTCAGCTTTAGTTTTTGCTTTTTGAATTTTGTGGTTCAGTTGTTTGATGTATAGACATTTAGGATCTTTGTCTTCCAAGTGGACTGATCCGTTTATCATGTAATGTCCCTCTTTGCTGCCATAAGTTTGTTTGCTCTGAAGTCTGTTTTATCAGATATATTATAACCACTCCTGGGTTTTTTTATTATTGTCTGTATGGTATATCTTTTTCCATCCTTTTACTTTCAACCACCCTATGTCACTGTGTATGAAGTGAATTTCTTGAAAACAGCGTATAGTTGGGTCTGCTAGTTTTTGTGATTTGACTGACATAGTTAGAGCATTTACATTTTAAATAAATGGTAACAATGTTAACAATAAATGTTAACAATTAAGTCTGCCATTTTATTATTTGATTTCTGTACGTTTCCTGTGGTTGTCATCACTCTGTTTCTTTATGTTACTGGACTATATTTTAGGAGGCTGTCTTGATTTTTCTATAGTATTTTTTTTGCATAGTTATTTAAGCGATTGCTTTGGGCATTACTATACACATATATGACTTACCATAGTCTACTGGCACCAACATTCCATCACTCTGAGTGACATGTGGAGATCTCTTCTATTTAGGTCATTTTACCACTCTTACTTTTCTTTTTTCTTTTTTTTTCCCCTTTTTGTCTTTTTTCGTGACCGGCAACGGATCGCAACCCTCAGTGTCACGCCCGGACCGGACCAGGACCGGCAACGGAATCGCAACCCTCGGTGTTGCGCCCGCACCTCACTCAGCCAGTGAGCGGCCGGTCTGTATGTGGGATCCGAACCCTCGGCGGGAGCACCGCCACGCTCCCAAGCGGCGCACTGTAGCAGTGCACCACCGGGCCGGCCCACCACCCTTACTTTTCAATATCATTGTGTTGAGTATTAGATGGTTTTATAATTATGGTTTTAACCACCAAATATGATTTTTAAAACTCATAACTATTCCTGAAAGAAATATGTGCTCATATTTATGCTCTTACCAATGTTCCTTTTTTTCTTCCTAATACTCCAAATTTTTTCCCTGTTTCAAGAATTTCTTTTAGCCATTATTTTACAGTAGGCTGCTAGTAACAAGTTCTTTTAGTTTTCCTTTATTTGAGAACATCTATATTTCCCTTTCATTCCTAAAAGACAGTTTTGCTGGATATAGAATTTGTGGTTTGCAGTTCTTTTCTTTCAGTATTTTGTTTGCTTGTTGTTTTTTTTGTGTGTGTGTGTGACCAGTAAGGGGATCGTAACCCTTGGTTTGGTGTCGCCCGCACCACGCTCAACCAGTGAGCGCACCGGCCACCCCTATATAGGATCTGAACCTGCGGCCTCGGCGCTCCCAGCACCGCACTCTCCCGAGTGAGCCACGGGGCCGGCCCTTCTTTCAGTATTTAAAAAAGGTGCCACTTCTTTCTGCCCCCCATGGATGCAGAGCAGAAATTACCTCTCATTCAAATTCATCTTCTGTTTAGTTATAATGTGTCTTCATGTGTTTCTCTGCTTAGTGTTCACTCCGTTTCTTAGATCTATAAGTTTTTGTGTTTTGCCACATTTGGGGTGTTTTCAGCCATTTCAGCTCCAGTATGTTTCTTTTCTCCTTCTGGTACTCCGATGATAAAATGTTGGCTCTTTTGTCCCCTAGATCCTTGAGAACTATCCATTTGTTCATTTTTGTTTGTTTGTTTTTGGTCTATTTTCTCTCTATTGTACAGATTAGATTATTTCTATTGATCTGTCCTCAAGTTCACTAACTATCCACTGACATTTCCCGTCTACTGTCGAGCCCATCCAGTGAGTTTTTTTATTTCTATTATTGTATTTTTTCAGTTTTATAATTTTCATTTTTTAAAATAACTTCTTTCTTTGTTGGCTGAGATATGCTATTTTGTAATGTTTTAAGAGAATTTGCAATTGATCATTGAATCCTTTTTATAACTGCCTTAAAATCCTTGTCAGATAATTCCAACATGTGATTCATATCGGTGTTGGTTGTGACTTCTGTGGTTTTTAGTATGATGGGTGATTTTTCAATAGTATCCTGTTAGGAGGCCCTGGATCCTATTTAAATCTGCAATTTTTGCAGACAGTCACCTTATTTAGGTTTGTCCCACAGATCCTGGCCCACTTCTGTGGGCTATAGTTCCAGCAACCTTTGCATTTTCAGAGACTTTACAGTGTTATTTTGGTCTGTTTTGTTTATCTGGTACCACTGGGCCATGCTGGTGATACCTGAGACATGGGAAGGGGTTTCCCCAGGTTAGGAAGCCAGATCTCTTTTGGTAGGTGAGGGAAGTCTGAGACCTATGGAAATAAAGAAGCTTCCTAGTTGAGCCATGTGTTATAACTAGGTGCCCCTCACTGGTTCTTTCCTTCAGCCCTGGTGTCACCTGGTTGGGAAGGGGAGTCTCAGGCTTGTCAGGGAGGGAGAACCCTTCCCCTGGTGCTTAATGGAGGTGGGGCATCTGATTCACTCCCATTGCTGGTGGTGTCAGGCTTATGGTACTCAGAAGAACTCTCATTAGATCCAGGGAAGGAATGAGTTTCCCTAGATGCCTTCTGTTTCTAGGTTGGGGTAGGGAAAAATCAGGTCTGGTTCACCTTCTTCTGTTGGAAGGGAAAAGCATAGAACACCCTGCAGTTCTGTTATTTCTCCAGTCCTGCACTCCCAAACCAGTTTACTTTCCTCTGACCAGGTTTTATTTATTTATTTATTTATTATTTTTTTGTCTTTGTGTGTGACCGGTAAGGGGATCACAACCCTTGGCTTGGTGTCGCCCACACCGTGCTCAGCCAGTGAGTGCACCAGCCATCCCTATATAGTATCCGAACCTGCGGCGGGAGCATTGCTGCACTCCCAGTGCCACACTCTCCCGAGTGAGCCACGGGGTCGGCCCCCTCTTGCCAGGTTTTATTTTACTTTTTTATTTTTATTTTTTGTGGCGGGAGCGTTGCTGCACTCCCAGTGCCACACTCTCCCAAGTGAGCCACGGGGTCGGCCCCCTCTTGCCAGGTTTTATTTTACTTTTTTATTTTTATTTTTTAAACATATTTATTATTATTATTACTTTTTTACATTCTAAGATGCTGTGGAGCAGTTGGGAGGGAAGGGGAGAGGGGAAAGGGAAGGAGATTGGGTGGGAGGAGATGGAAGTGGGGACATGGTCAAGGCCCATGGCATCCCCCTCATTCCAGCAGGGGAGCCCAGGGGACTTCTAGTGGCAGCTTGGTCATGGCCGCTTACCAGCTTTTAAAGTCCTTCTTTTGTCTCTTATGTTATTTTGACATTTATAGTTGTGCTCAGCAGGGAAGAGCAGGGAGAAATTGACCTATGCCATCTTGTCTGGATTGGAAGTCCCAAATTTTTAAACACTATGAGGTTGCAATATCACCTATAACTATTATACTACTTTGGAGGTGTGTACTGCTAGTGAAAAATGAAACATAGGACAAGTCAGCATTGGTAAAAGGGGATTCAAACTCTTTGTTGTCAGGAAGTATCAAAATGGTCTATCCAGCTGCAAACCCCTTCCTAAATAGGGGAGCAGCCCTGT